TTCCCGATTCGAATTGTTGATTTCCCTTTTCCAGATATAGTAATGAAATCGTACAATTTAAACTCTTCATTATCTAAGGGAATTTCTAAATTAGAAATCTCTTGCGTTTTCCGTAAACCATTTTTGTTATTATTGTTATAATAATAGTTTCTAATCTTGCTACAAACATCGTTCTCAGAAGCTAAAATAATTCGAGATTCATTTTCAGCATGTAGAATTACTGATTTGGAAAACCCATTCTTTGATACAATACATCCTAATACTAATTGATTTGTATTCGTTAATGTTCCTTTTAATTGTTTATTATATTTATCATTTTTATATTGTCAATTGTATTTTTCTATATAATCATTTATAAATAAAAAAAATCTTCAACGGAATCTTATTGAGACCATTTTCATGTAACAAGAAACTCTTTATATATTATATCGAGTATTTGGATCATACTGTATATTAATATTAATATTGCATTCATTGGTAATCTTTTGCTGATACTATAATCACATGTCTACTTGTAAAATTAACGATCATTCGAAATGAATCTATCCAATTTCTCATTCATACTATTCTCTACCCATCCTCTCTTTCTTTCAATTTCTTTATTATAACAACTTAATATTAATACAAAGGTAACATCTACACATGATATTTTATTGTTTCAATCTTTTATTATTATTATTATTATTATATATTATATGACAAGTTATTATTATAAGAAGCGTAAAAACTTTAATACAAAATACGATTGACATTCCGGGTCAGAGATATACAGTGTGGGACAAAAAAAAACCGGGATTACAAATTTACACATTACGCAAGAACTAATCGTGCAAATGGAATAAAATTTATATATTTGAAAGCTAAAAAAATCAGTATTAGTATTAGTATGGAATGCGTTCCCCGTTATTTTCTATGACAAGGCGTTTCATTGATCGTACTAAATCAATTAGGGTTGATTGTGGAATATCATCCCACTCTATAACTTCAGGCATATTATCCCGAAGAAAATTTTTAGCGAAGCGTCTTGTGGTTCCGTAAACTTGGTAGTGTTTGCTAGAGTGTGGAGTTGCTTTGAATTTTTCTAGAATTTGAGCAGATGTTTTGGGTCGTTGTCTTGTTGAAACCGCCATTCATCTCCTAACAAGTCTTCAATTTCTGGTAGTTTACTCCGGAGTATGTCTACATAAAATTTTGCATCCATTTATTTCTGAGAAACAGTATAAACCTGTTTTACCATTTATGCAGAATCCTCCCCAAGCGAAGATCTTTGTTCGATCCTTCGACATAACGACGTGTAGGTGGTTGTCCTTTATCTACAGTATTCCGAAAAAGCTGAAATGCAGTCTCATCCGTAAACAATGTATTCTCCCAATCATCATTAAGATGATTTTGAGCCCACTCTACACGCCGATGTTTATGATTTTCAGTCAACATTGGTGTTGCTCTTGGAAGGCTTTTTTGATAACCGCTTTGCTCCAAATGCCTTCCTACTGTTCTATAAGATACATCCACTCCACTTGAAAGTAACTTTATTGCTAATGTCCTTGTAGAAATAGATGAATCTCTCCGAACATATTGAGCTAACGCTCTTGATGCATTACTTTAATCTTCCTTGGCCGGCCGCTTCCTTCTATACGCTGAATAGTTCCAGATTGCTCGAGTTTTCTAATATTATCATAGACCGTATTGAGGGCAATACCAGTTCGTCTATGAATCTCTACACCTTTCCGAATGCCTTGGTCCCATAATTGTTGTATAGATTGACGGTTACGCTCTTGTCTGAAAGTCTTCATCCTAATTGATGTTTCTTGAATGATGTTTGAGAATGTTAAAGGAATTTAGGGAATAGTATTACAGTATTAGTGAAAATACCTATAAACAAGCGATTGAATGTTACAAAAAAATCCCGGTTTTTTTTTGTCCCACACTGTACGTAACATTCATTATTCAGGCGATTGCAAAGCAAACATAGTTAAAAAGCACATCCCACGGAGCTATCTGGGGAACAGGAACGGCACGAGATTGTTTCACCAAAACTCGGGTTATCAGCTCTCAAAAAATCACGTGTGAAAAATTCATTTCTTTATGACCCAAAAAATAATTACAAAGTCGGGTACAATTACAGCATTTTGGCGCGATATCTCTCCCTAGCCCTCTTTGTAGCTGGAGATTTTTCAACACACGCTCTATCCTTTAACAAACCGACAATGACACCCAATACCTCTTTCACGCCCTTTGAATAGTGTTCCAATGCTTTCTTGGTAAATTCAATAGAAAGGGCGGTATCGCTTGCTGCCCTGGACTGTATAGCAAAAAGTGCCAGTCGCGTCCGGTTGTAACGATCCCATACAAATAATCGAAATTATCATTCTCTCTCCGCTTTCGCTTTCTCTTGTTCGTTTCGATTGAGCACTCGAGTTGTTTGATATTCTATTAGAATGAGGTATGGAAAATAAGGTATATACAAATTGATGGATGCGATTAGTTTTCTGTAAAGTTCTACATTACCCGAGCAAAGCCCAATGGGACTCTATGTTGCTTGTCTTCGGTGATGCAGATAAGATCCTCAAGATGCTGAATAAAAATACCGTATTAGCACAACTTGGAAAATCATAGTCTATTCACCATTGATCCAATTACTTTTATTGTGTAATCAACTCTGCCCTTACTTCCATCACCAATAATTTCATGCTGGGGACGCATAATTAATTCTTTTCCCGTCTCACCTCTGACAATGTGAAGGGCTGAATGGAGTAATGCTACAATGTATTCATTTTGCATGGCTTCTAAACTGTCTGGTTGTAGGGTTCCATAACTCTTCAATCTACCAAAATCTCTGCCATGCATGCATCAAGTGTCTATCTTCTTTTGAATCTCACTAACATATAACAGTAGTTCAAACAGGGAGATTGCCTCTATCTCATTGCTATTGAGGTCAAACTTTTCTAATACTTCTTTAAGACTGAGGAATGATGAAAATGCTCTTAATTTTTCTCTCTAACTTCCTTGGCAAAATCAGCAAGAGTCAATGCTGGTTCAAAAGTCATTCCTAAGCTACAGAAATCATCTTTGGTCATCTTGAGAAAATCACAGCCAGAGATCTCCTCATTGCATAAGATTTTGAAATGAGTTTCATCAAGTTGCAAATCTTTCTGCTCCTTCAAAAATTCAATAAGATTTTCTGTATCATACTTTCTAACCAGTTCATATTCAGCTAAAGTGGGAGCCTGTTTTGCTTTGGTCACATTGCTAGAAGATGAAGCTGGAGTTGACATTTTGAGTTATATATGATTTTTTGGTGGATTTTATTGGTAGAGGTACACAACAAAAAGGTAAACTAGGAGAAGAAGACAAAGTTGGAAGAGGAGAAGCATCTGAAGAAGAAGCAGGAATCAAGACTGGAATGGTTAAAAACTGGAATAATCCCAACTTTTGAGGGGTGAGCAGCTATAAGATATTGTGTTTGAGGTGTATTGGGAGGAAGTTTTATAAAAGAATGGTAGATTGGGTATATGTACCATTGTCAGGTGACTGAATGATTGATCAAAGCAATTCTCTACGATTTGGTAAATGACTCCCTTCTTTCATTTTCATCCTTAAATGGTGCTGACATCTCAGAATAGAATCAAGATGCTGATCATTATTATTATGTAAAATTTATAGACTTCGATTGGGCAGGAAAAGATGGGGAAGTTAAATATCCATACTTTAGGAATCACAAGAATATTGATTGGCATCCTGATGCAAAAGATAAAAGATGGAGAGCTGATAAAGAAAGAACATGAGTTAATAAAATTGGTATTAACAGTGTGTTTAGTAGTCTATAGCTTACCATTTATATTCAGACAGTGAAATAAAGTGCAATGGGTAGTAATTATTTAAACTCTTGTCATTAAAACCAGAGTAGTAGTAGCTGAATGTTATTATTCATTTTTTCAATTATTGATAAACTACAACATGGCAAATTATATATAGGATTAAGTATATATGAAAATATTTATAATGGTTCCACTGAATATGAAAAAAGCAATACGTTTCTTGGAGTTAGTTGTAATTGTGGATGTTCGAAAATGATTCCGAAAGAAAGGTTTGCCGAATTACGTGAGGCGCGTTTCAAGCTCCCTACAGATCCGAACAAGATATATTTTTAATGGCCCAACTGAAAGCAATGAATGGTGGAGAAATAACTGCCAGTCGACGTCTTAAAAAGAAAATGCGTACTAATAAGAGAACTTTTTATTATTGAGATCGCAATACGCCATTTTGTCAGAAAACGTATCTCAAATTGGTCGCACGCACTTCGAAAATATCAGAAATCACCTGGTGACGAATGGTATAATACCGCGTGTTCATGGTAATATAAACGAATGCCACGATGAAAACCAAAATAACCATTGATATAACGCCGTGAAGAATTTTTTCGAAAACTATGCGGAAATTCATGGATTACCAAGTCCTGGTAGAAATGTCAATCGCATTACTCAATCGCTGACACTATTGCCAGCCGAAACGTGTCCGTAAATTTTTGATGGGAAATCCAAATTGGAGGCAAATTTGCCTCCAATACAGTTTAAGGGATAAGTACAAACGTTCTTTTATTTATGAAATTTTTTCACAAGACGTAATTTTAGTTTTCTAGTGATATCATTCTTGACACGTATTTCTCCGACACGAGTCCCCTGGGTATTCCCCTTGTTCATTTTAGTACCTGGGGTACTCGTGTGGTACATCGTACCGATGGGGGGTACATAACTCGTGGCTTCTTTGTGAAAAGTTTTTTCGCGTTTCTTTACAAACTAACACTTCGCTCAAAGACTTTGCAACTGAAAATATGTCGACTACCGTATTCAACAGAATTTTGAACTTTATGAAAGATGAGCCAGTAATGCATATTACAGCAGGGTTGGTAATCTATAAAGGCGCAGAAGAAGACCAAACAGTATCAAAAGATAAACTCTTAAAGTTGACGATTAACGCAATCCGATCCCATGAAAAATATCGCTGGAGAAGATTTCGAGCGGTTTAGAAAGATTTCTGATATTTCTTTAGAGGTTAGTTATTCTTTTTTTAGACATTTTCTCATATATATATATGATGACGACGCAGATATCACTTGACAAGTCAAAATAAATACCTGAGCCTACAAGTACAAGTTACGACTTCGAACGTAGTGAAGGGTGTTTCGGCTCAGTGGAGTAGTATTTGCATTTGGATAAGTTGTCGTCCTTGTGGCGATCGAACAAGGATGGCAACTTTACGATATTTCTGGTAGCACGCGCAAGGGGGGATAAATAATATATATTACCAAGTTAGACTAACAAATATTATTCTGCGTCAGTTCGAATGCGCCTATGAAACTATTACTATCTGTAGTCTACGTGATATCAAGGTGTTGAAGACGGTATGACGGATTACTTTTTGTAATAATGTCTATAAAATATAAACTAATATATTAATATATTGTAAAGAGTGGACAGGTTTAATGATGATACGACAAAGAAAAATTACAAGGGAGATTCATTCCCCCCTTCTGTAGAACTCCATCAAAGCGTGAAAAATAGAACCATCGCAAACCTAACCTGGAAAGATCCTCTAGCCAGTCAAGTGATAAGTGATGATTCAATCATAGTGGAAAGTTGACACCTAAACAGCATCAAAAATTTATGGTAAAAGTTACTTTGTTTTTCTTTGCTGTAATTATAATTAGCATTTTAATTAAATTGTTCCTTCAACAGAAACTGTGACTGCTATGCTCCCAGACTCGATCCAAGATAAATGCCACGAGTTCGTATCAGGGTTTTCAGAAGAATATATTGAAGATTTATGTATAAAACTTACACATAATGGGAAGTGGAAAGAGTCAGATGAAACCCTTATTAATAGTGGATTTAATGTAAATTGTTTCATATTATATAGAGGTAATCCTATATTAATCTTATTATGGTTTATATTCATCACATTCTGGTATGATAAAGTGAAAATTAAATTTAACAAGTTACATAATAATTTATGAATGAGCACCATGATTACTTTTTAAAATGTCATCAGTCACATTGGTCAATTTTACAGCCACATCATAATCAGCCTCTCATTTATGTCACATAATAAAATGTTTACTTTGTCTGGTTTTGTTGCAGCATGCCCCATCTAAATTTTTTGGGAGCAATGCTATAAAATAAAATTAGTTTTGATATGAAATTTTTGATATATTAATATAAATACCCATAATAATAATAATACTAATGTCTGGTGTGTTTTATATGAAAGTGACTACAGCAAAATGACTATCATGTGTAAAGATGAGAAGGATATGGTTGTGGAGTTATGTGATCTTTTTTCATGAACAATCACAGTTTTAACTTAGTAAACAGTCACACAAATGACGACAATGTAATCATACAGAGTTGATGATTGTGCATAAAATATATTACTATTTGAAAAAGCTGGAACTTTTGGGCCACTAAACCTGCTCAATACGGCTGGAAGATAATTGTTGATGGTGTAAAATGGCGATTACATTGAATAGAATGTTTTGTCATTGTAATATTTAAATAATTCTCTGAATAATAAACGAGTTTATGCTTGCATTAAGCAATTTGTTGCTAACAGGTAAAATTCTTGAAGTATAGCTCGGAGAAGCTGTAACACCTTGAAGACAAAGTCTCGTGTTCCTTGCTGAATAATATATATGTATATGTATATGTAGATAGATATTAATATATATATTATATATATAGTAACCGTTTATGGAAAATTATAATTATAGTGGGTCAACTGAATATGAAAAAGCCATGCGCTTCTTAGAGATAGGTTGCAAATGTGGTTGCTCAAAATTGATTCCGAGAGAAAAATTTAAGCTCTCTCTAGATCCGAACAAGACATATTTTTACAGATAACGATATATATATATATGCATTGAAACTTTCAAAGCGTTTGCTCATTCCTATCTCAAATTATGAGGGGTCAATTACTTATGTATTTGAAACGCAACAGTTCGTTGGAGAAATTTATGTGAGGAGGATAACGGAGATTTCTTACAGGGCCGTGTCTATCAGCGATTCAAAATTGGAGAGAATGGGAAATCGGGTTGACTTTCCACAAGCTAATAAGATAATGTCAAGCTCACTAAATTCCAGAAATTTCAGCGTTTGGGTCGAATCATGTTCTCGTTATATGTAATGTCGTTCTCATCAACAATCTACGAAGCTTTTATACTCATTATCGCGCTTCTTCCCTTTCGGCTTTTGAGACGTAGTCGACATTATAATATACTCTATTTAAATAATGAAGCACTTCAGACTGTATCCTCCAATTTTCAAGCATCGGGATCATCAACAACAACTCCATCAATCTCTTTCGCAACTTCTTTTGCCAATCTTTCGACAAGCTCTTTCTGTTTTCTCCTTGTCAGAAGACTAACGATAACCCACCGTCTACTGCCTTTCCATTTTGGATAACTACCCACCTTTATATCCATCTTCTTCACATCCTCCTGAACTCTAGCAAGAACAGGAGCAATAAAAGATTCTTGCACAGTGGTTTTCACAAAAGCTCTCACAAAGCCATTATCCTCTACAACGTTCAAATATTTAGCATATTCTGATAGGAGACTCTGGAACAAACTAGGGAGACCAGGAAGTATGTGAACGTTTTCATTGACAATAACAATGGGAACCCAGTATTCTTCCAGAGGGTAGACAACGATTGAGGGCGTTGGAAAGAGCGCCATGCGTTTACGGGCGATAACAGCCTCTTCACTTGGTTCGGATTTGTAATTTACCATTCGATCCAACGTTGGCTGGTGATAGACTAAAGAAAGATTAAATGCGCGAGCGAGAGATGGGTAGGTAATGTCATCATGAGTTGAACCTGTGTGGGGTGAATAGGTGTGAATATTAAGTCAATAACAGAGTGACAGACAACAAGGCAGCACAAAGTCAGTATTTACCTATTCCACCACTCGTGACTACCATATCATAAGAACTACTAAAGCGTTTTGCAGCTTCGATTATAGTCTACCAGATCAGACTTGAAGATTAATAACAGTATCAAAAATATTCCATTACAATACATATGGTCTTCACCTCTTCATCATCCGGAATGACCTCAATCCGTTTCAAATCAATTCCAAGATTAAAACAGAACTTGGCTGATATCAAGAATGAAAACGAATCATTCAAATATGTTTTTACGTAGACTTTAATGTGACCATGAGGCAACCAAGTAATCACAGCAATAATCCTAATATTTCATTTTTCCCCTTCAACTTCTCACCCCATCCTCCATGGGTTTCGCTCACTAACCAAAGAAATTCGAGTTCGTATCAGGCGTCTTGCCGTTTAAAATCTCATCACCAATTATCAGACAGCCCGCCGTCTTAGGAAACGGCCTATTTTTTAATTCATCGATTGGCGTTTTCCAGCGTTTCGTCGTCATTTGCTTGGCTAGCTCAACGAGAACAGTCGAGTCGCTATTACTATGAATTAGACGTATACTTAGCAATTCCCGAAGATTTGGGGTAACTTGTACGAGAAAGGCTAAAAGAAGAACAATAAGAAATATTAACAAGGTTCCTGGATAACTGGATATATGATGGCGCACGTATAGTAAAAGTCGAGTAATAAACATTATTGCGTTTGAGTTTTTTAAGCTGTAATGCTTTATCACTCATTGTTGCACATGTACCTATCGATCTTACAAAAAAATATTCGATGTGATCCTGTTTTGTCATTCGAATTAATTTTCGTAATAAGCAAGTTCAGTATTGGGAACAATCATCAAGTCTTGTCACGGCCAAAGTCGATTCCCACAACAAACGCATCACAACCTACTTACTTAATATCAAATGCCGCTAATATAAGTTAAAGTCTCGGAATCTATACTTTCGTCAACTAAAACTGATCATTTCGTTTTATTAGTATTGAGTAGCAACTTTACATTGTACGGGTAGGTAGCACACTAGCAGGCCTCGTAAAAGGTGTTTTGCGGTGGTAGCTCTCGATATGATCGCTGAGGGTAGGTTGAATACAATATTTTTTATAGGCTATCCCATTGCTCCACCATTTGCTCAAAAGAGTAAACCCCCATTAATATATAAACAGATCAATTAGAGCCGTTTCCTCCTCGATTGCTAATTTCGCCTATCCATTTAATTCTATCCGTATAAAAAGTTGGTTTATTGCAACATTGTGGTTTACGCGGAACCAATGCATGTAAAATCTTTCTTTCATCAACTTCACAACTCGCTTTCTCTATCGGCTTGATAGAACAATTAATGAATAAAAAATTCAGAGAAAGCCAAGGAGCAAGAAACAAAAATTAAATCTGACATCGAATACTTTCAATCGCGTCAAACGGGGGTTGCAAAAACTATAGTACGGAGGAGATAAAGATGGATGAAACAGAAAGAGGGTCTGACCAAGACAAAAAACAAAGCCTGAATTCAGTGAGCGACCTTTCTTCACATAGCAATAAGTAATTCGTATTGTACGAATTCTGTTAACGATACATGATCCCAAAACTTGGAGTACACATTCCCGTCGAATTCTCTAATCTCTAACTCCAACCTTTCCAATCTCTGCTCCTTTCATTCCTCTCTCTCATCAATATCTATTACCATGCTTTGTACAACTGAGTTACTCATTACTAAAACACCCAGTCACCTCACACATTGGTTCTTCTTTTCAATCCTCTCGGACAATACAATATAGAAACCGTCTATCCGGTCAGGTTTTTTGGGTAGAGTGTGTTTGCTAGTATGGTCTAATAGTACAATTCACAGTGCTAGAGGGAACGTTTAGTTGAGCGGCGATAACTTTTTGCTTCATTGTGTTGAGGTATGCGCTGATTATCCGTTCGCGTTTATTTGAAAAACCCAAGTTGGTTTTGTTGACTACAATCAACCTTGATGCCTTATAAGGAGATAGAAAGTATAATCACGTGAATAGAGTCAAAATTACTAAACAGATTGTATTTTGTTGTATTCCCGCATTCTTTTGAAAACTACCACGTCCTTTACAATGTTTGAAGATGAGATAGCCACACTGCGTCGAATGTCGAAGCGTCAGGTAATGTAATTGCCGTGTTTGTAATAACTAGACCTTTGGCGAAGGAAAATTTGTCGTTTGAGCTGCTTATTGGACACATACATTTTTCCTTCTCTACACAGGTTCTTATGCAAATTCTGAACTTCCTCATGATTATTGCATCGGCTTTAATGGTATGGAAAGGGTTAGCTCTCTATACTAACAGTGAGAGTCCTATAGTTGTAGTATTAAGGTAACCAAATTACGTAAATTTAAAGCTTTATACCATAGAATTTGACACGTATTATCTTTTCTTCTTAGTGGAAGTATGGAACCTGCTTTCTATCGAGGCGATCTCCTATTTCTTGGCATGCCAGATGAACCACTTCGAGTGGGAGACATTTGTGTATTTAAAATTCCTGGGAGAGATGTTCCGATTGTACATAGGGTCATAAAGTTACATGATGAGTTGAGTATATGAACAAGAACGCGAACGTGATTACAGTATGGAGTACTAATCGAATTTATTCTTTGATATTAGGAGAGACACGGGAATGCAATACATTCTTACTAAAGGAGATAATAACCAGGTAGATGATCGCGGATTGTATAATCCTGGGCAATTATGGATACACAGAAAGGACGTCGTCGGGAAAGTTAGAGGGTACGTATGGATTGAAGAGCATCGGCAGTGATTTGAAGGTACTAATAACGAGCTATCGGTTTATCTGTTTCCATTATCCAGATTCTTACCGTATGTTGGAATGGTTACCATCATAATGAACGACTATCCACAAGCAAAATATTTATTAATCGCAGCATTAGGAATATGGGTGCTAACGCATAGAGAGTGATTCTACCAAGTTTAATGAGCTGAAATACTCCAAATCAATAAATGGCGATGTCGAGATCAAATTGCATAGAAATTTCAATTCCCGTTAATGCACAAAAGCAGTCCTGTCTGTTTAGAGTAATCTGTTGTCTGATTATCGAGAATCATGTTGTTGGACGTCGCTAAAATCAGCCATGGGCAATGCGAGTTTCGATCAGAATCCAGACAAAGCTCATAATAATTGCTATACTCTCCATAAGACACGGGTTTATTCTGACCTTTCAATGTCACATATTACGATTTCTAATACCATAACATTGTTAGACTCTTCTTCTAATCTATCATTTAATGTATAGATCATTGTCTCTTGTATATGCTGTCAATGAAGTTAGCCAAATCCACGTCTCTCACAGACAATCCTTGACATTCATGTGTTGCAAGAGTAATTTCAACATTATTGTAAACCTGTAAATTCAGAATGCTATTAAGACGCAAACTACTATTTGTCTGTGATCGCTTTGCCCCAACACTTACATTAAACCATTCCGGATGATGGTCAACCTGAGTTATTAAAAATACGCAATTAATTATTGTACTTAACATAAAACAGTTCTTTCTACTTTACCCACCTTATCAGCTTGCAATGCAATTCGAGTCATAAATCCAAAAGCTTCGTTGAAATCATTGAACTTGAATTTCTTTTTGATGGCGTCCCTCCCATCAACCAATTCCCATTCGTTATTTTTCAATGGCTCAACAAGTTTCTTCCTTTCATCGGTTGTCAGCTTAGCAATAGGCATCCTTTTTGTTGAGAATGCACGATATACAATATGCGAGGAGAACGGAGCGGTTTTTGGCTGCCAATACTTGTGTGTGAATAACAAGCGCATTAAAATCTCGTTATCGAATGGCATTCACTTTCGTGGGAACGGGATCACATGGCGTGTGAATATACATGTTACTACAGTCTAATTGGTGGAATTTACTAAGCAAAAGATGATATTTCTTTTCGAAGTGCATTCGCACGCGGAGGAATAATTGCTTATTTGTGAAGGAAAAGTAAGATGGCAAAGTTTAAAGATCTATCAGATTTGGCCGTAGTTATTCGTACATACATACAGTGCCCTCCAATAAATGAGTGAGTAACACAAAATTTTGCAAATTATACATCAAGTTCGCGCGCATGTAACG